TCTTTCTTTCTTTCTTTCTTTCTTTCTTTCTTTCTTTCTTTCTTTCTTTCTTTTATTTTTTGGGCATTTTTTCATATTCTTTTTTTTTAAGTTTATTTATTTATTTTGATAGAGCCAGGGAGGGGCAGAGAGAGAGAGAGGGAGAGAGAATCCCAAGCAGGCTCTGCGCTGTCAGCATGGAGCCTGACGCGGGCTTCAACTCATGCACTGTGAGATCATGACCTGAGCTGAAATCAAGAGTCTGATGCTTAATTGACTGAGTCACCGAGGCGCCCCTGGAGCCAATCTTTTCCATACAATTCCAGCATCAGGTCTCCGAGGGGCACTCAGCAGCATTGCACTTAACCATTTGAGCAGGCTGCTGACCTTTTCAGGTCTTTGCAGCCGTTTGGGAACTCTTAAGAGAAGGCTTTATTAGCTACCCCTTTTTTCTCTTGGTGTCTGTGTTACCACCATCTCCTGGTTCTCCCATCTGTCATGTCGACGTTCCCATTTCTGGCTTCTCTTTCTTTGCCCACGAAAGCGTTGACCTTCTTCGGGATTCTGATCCACAGGCTCTCTCTGGAGGACCTCTTCTTCTTCTATAGTTTTAGCCACCCTTATTTCACCGGGCTTCCAGATCTATACATCTCCAGCCTAGGCACCATTTCTGATTCCAGAACTCAATATCTGTTGGGTCATCAGGCACCTTCATCATCTGGATGTCCCTGTTTCACCTCCACAGTCACATTCCACACATATTTACCTCTGTTTTTCTTTTTCTTTTTTTTACATTTTATTTATTTTTGAGAGGGAGAGAGAGAGAGAGAGAGAGCGCGTGCGCACACCAAGTGGGGGAGGGGCAGAGAGAGGGAGACACAGAATCCGAAGCAGGCTCCTGGCTCTGAGTTGTCAGCACAGAGCCTGATGCGGGGCTTGAACCCACGAACCATGAGATCATGACCTGAGCCGAAGTCAGTTGCTTAACCGACTGAGCCACCCAGGTGCCCCTTTACCTCTGTTTTTCAAGAGTGTGGTCAGGTGAACTTACCTCTCTGCTCCCCTGTGCCCCATGCTGTTTTTCTTCCTCTTTTTCTTGTTTTGGTGAATGGTACCACTGGCCATTCAGTCATCCAAGCCAGAACCTTTCTTCCCCTTTCTTCACCTCCTGCCTGCAATCATTTACCAAGTTCCTTTCATAGCCAGATATTTTTCTCCATCCTCACAGCTACTGTCTTATTTCAGGCCCTCATCCCTGGGCCTGGACTTTGGCAGTTGTCCTAACTGATATCACTGCCTCCAATAGTCCTTCTGTCGACTCCAATTTTTCTTGGCCTGAAGCTTAAAGTGCAAACTCCTGAGCATTGACTGTGCTGGATGATATTTCTTTGCTCTGTCTACCTTTACATTTTCTTTCTCCCCTCCCTCCTACCCTGGCTGAAAGATTGTTATGAACTCTAAAAAAAATTACCGTATTACTTAACGACTCAGCTCTTTTATGAATCCTACTGTTTATTGAATGCTGACTACGTAGTATTTAACCTCAAAACAACTCCATTGGGTGGTTATGATCACCCACGTTTCACAGGCGAGGAAGTTCAAGTCCACAGTGCTAACCAACTTGGCCTGAGGCCACACATCTAATAACCGGCAGAGCCAGAATGTCAAACACCTCCCTTTGGCACTCACAGTATTTTCTACATTACACGTGAATGTCAGGCAATGTGTCCCTATATAACTTTTCAGCCTTTTTAAACCTTCCTTCCCACTACTTTCTGTGTGGTAGATAATGTCATACTCTTTGGGGGATTATAGAGTCCCCCTTCTGCCACGTCCACATACCTTCTGCCCCGGCCAAACTGCCCTTCTTGCCTTTGCTGCAGAGTTCTGTCTTGGTTACCCTCCCCCTCTCTTTCCCAGTCTTGCACACCCTTCAGGGTCCAGTTCATCTCCTCTGTGAAACCTGTCCAACCTCAGATCATTTGGACTGCCTTTGAACTCTGTTGCAGCTCGTGGTAGGGACCAGTTTGTGACCAGCTCCCCAAATTCATGTGCTCACCAAGAATTATCTGTAGGTGAAATAATTCACACCTTGTACATGCATTTACCTCTGTTTTTTCAAAAGTGTGAAAATATTTTTTCTTTTATTATTAATTTTAAATTGTTAATTTTAAAAATATTAAAATATTTTTTTCTCATTATTATTTATAGAAAGATAATGTGACAGAGCTCTCTAGGTCCCCTAAATCGATTCTACCCTCTTCCACAGTATATAAGAGATACACTGCTCTCCATTTTAGACTACATTTTCTAGTGTTCCTTACAGCTAAATGTGGTTATGTAACCAAATTGTGGTCAATGGAGTGTAAGCAGAAGTGTCGGGTCCTAATTCTGGAAAGCTGAGGTTTATAGAGATTAAATAACTCACCCCTAGGTCACACAGCTAGTACCTGGTCAAGCCATGGTTAGAATCTGAGTCACTCTGACTCTAACACTCACATAATGTAAAAGGAGAGAACATGCCGTTTTTCTTCTTTCCTGCTGGCTGGAATGAGGATGTGATGTTGGAGCTGAAGCAGTCAGCTGGGATCATGAGTTCGAAGTGGTGTCCGGAGGATAGCAGATCCTCCATCATACGATCATAGGGAC